GGTGTGTGGGGGTGTTTTTTTCGCCCCCCCCCCCCCGTGGTGCTACAGGTGTTATTGGTCCAGGGGCGTGGCCAGGGCTCTGATGTGAGGCCCCAGCATCTCCTCTGGGCCTTGGCGTTTTCTCTGGGGAGTGAGGCGGGGACAGGGCTGCAGTTCCTGGCCCTGTTGTCGTTGTGTGGGGCTGAGGATGCTCCTCAGCTCTCCTGGCGGGTGAGGGGGACCAGGCCACAGTTCCCAGACCCGGTCTGTGCTGCGGGGAGGCCAAGACGGGCTGCGGTTCTTGGCCCCGGCCCAGTGGACGCCAGGTTAAGCTGTAGCTCTGCCACAGTGCCTGCCCCTGCAAATGAGGCTCGGCGATATTCCATGCTTAGCCTCATTTGCATATTTCTGGCATAAGAAGCTGTGAGCGTAGACAGAGCCCAAAAGGCTAGGAAACCAGCGTAAGCCCTAAAACCAGTCTCAATGCACAAGCGTCATTGCAAAGATGTTTGCCTCAGTTTCCCAATATAATGCAGCCATTGTAGAAATGGCCTTTGACTGAGCTAAATTTCTGCAGCCCTCTCCCCCTTGTCCCTGCCTGCGCTGCAGTTCAGCCTTGGCTAATTTAGCTCGACAAAGGTGCTATCCCCTTTTTACATCCATCCATCGCGTTTGTTGAGAGCAGGAATCCTTTCCTGCGGAAGACACCTCTGGCAAGGTTGCCTGTCTGTGGTGTTGCTCCGTGCTTACCCACCCACGGGAATTATTCTGCTCCACAGCTGACGACTCATTGTTTTATTAAAACTGTTTACACAAGCAAACAGCACATTGTGTGGGGACAAGATGCTGACGGTTCAACTTTCACAATTGGCTGGCAGGTCCCTCCCCTAGAGATTTAGGAAAAACGTTAATGGCTCCTCTAAGGGGAGTTAAGCTCTGAAATTGTCTTCCATGGCAGATTGTGGAACCCCCCATCATGTGGGGGTTTTAAGAACAGGTTGGAAAAAAAACCGTCAGGAAGAGTCCAGGTTGATTTGGTTCCACCGCAGAGCAGGGGGCTGGACTTGACTTCTCAAGGTCCCTTCCAGCCATACATTTCTGTCACAGTTGAGAGTAGCCCCACTTTCCCCACTTGCTAACCGCCCAGGTCTTGTTACAATTGGCCCCTACTTACCAACAGTGATATATTTGCATAAACTTACTGCCTGTCTACACTGGCCACGTGTTCTTGCGCAAGAGAAGTAACATTCTAATGTATGAAATCAGGGCTTCTTGAGCCAGAACTCTGACACTTCTGCTCAGGAATAAGCCCTTTTGCGCAACTGTTCTTGAGCAAGAGGCCAGTGTAGACAGGCACTATGAATTTCTTGTGGAAGAAAGCCCTATGGTTAAAATGGCCATCAGAGCTTTCTTGCACAAGAGAGCATCTACACTGGCATGGATACTCTTGCGCAAAAGCACATCTCTTGTGTAAAGGCACATGCCAGTGTAGACACTCTCTTCTGGAAGAGTTTTTGCACAAGAACTCTTCCACAAAAGAGTTCTTGAGGAAAATCATGCCAGTGTAGATTTAGCCTTTCTGTGTAATTTCAGGTACATCAAAGTGTGGTATATGGGAAAATTCCAGTCGCACAGATTTGGGCACTTAATGGCATGCCTGACATAAATGGAAATTATACCTGACAGCCAGTACCACCCCCTTGTTTTCTGTCTCCCACATTGATAAAGGAGGAAAACCATGTATGCAAATAGTCTGGAAGCAGGTAGGACTAGTCCTTCAATTCTTCCAGAGGGAGTTAAGACTTTCTGTTCCCATGAGCCTGCTAATCCTAGGGTTTATATTCCTGTAACTTCAGTGAGAGTAGAGTTATTCCAAAGCAGAGCACATTAGAAAATATAAACAAGTTGTAGATGGGATTTTTCCAACACATAAACACACGCCTTGTAGCATAGGCCATCCTCGCTATAAGTCCAAGATACATTCCAAAAAATGTTGACTAAGTTGTTTCACTATAGAAGTGGGGAATTTTTTTTTTCCCAGGGTCAACTTCCATTTGCACAAATGTGTTTGTTCATTTGTGCATGACTTAAAAACAGGGAATGGGTGGACTTAATATATCAGTTCCTATATGGGTCAACGACTTTAGTGCGAAACGGATGTATACTGGGGCGACTTATCCCGTATACGGGTCAACGACTTTAGTGCGAAACGGATGTATTCTGGGGAGACTTATCGCAGGGATGCCCAGTAGCCAGTTATATACCTCTCTATACATAAGTTACATAACAGCGATGCTTATAACATTTAGAGAGACCAAGGTGGCCTGACAAAAACTTAGCGCATCAGTGCTCTGTGTATTCCTAGATTATTTATTTTTTTCTTTGAATGTAGCATATTTAATACATGGGGATCCCACTTGTTATGAGAATATTTGGATCAAAAAGAAACATTCTCATTGATCCAAATAGTCAGCCTTTTTAAAATGATCATATTGCAATATAATCAGCCTTAATAGGGTTGATTAAATAGGGCCCAGTTGTGCTCACATTCAAACACCTCTACCCCATGTAGCATCATTCATTTCAATGGGTGAGTAAATACCAGCAAGCTAAGGGTTACACAATTGCAGATATAAAGCACTATTCAAGTGAAAAGCATCGTACTGTAATTAAAAATACCATTTACTGCAGCCAGAAGCATTTTCATTTCCATCTCCCCTCGGTTTGGTCAGCCTCGAACTCACAGAAAGTTAAAACACCCATCAGTGTCAAGGGTCAACTGTATCTTTCAGCTATTAGCCACATTAACACATGGATATATTCCTATACACTGCTGCTTAACCACGCCTGTAAAGCGGGGGTAAATATTAGAACAGACCCCATCACTGACACCACCAAAAATAACCACAGGAAGATCCGATCGAGGACTTGAGCTACAAATTTCCAATCTTGAACTACCTAGAAAAAACAATAATAGCAATATTAGTTTGGCCATATATATATTTTTTCCAAATTCCAATATCTCGTAGCTGCAAACAATGCAGTTACAAAATATGGTCTGGGTTAGTTATAATTTTGAACAAATGTTGCTGATTACGGAAATATTGCTCCTTGAGGCCCCGATCCATCATACACGCATTGGCATCAATGGGACCACTCTGTTAAGCACATGCATAAGTCTGCCTCAGTGATGAACGTTAAGCATGCGTGCATGTGTGTTTGTAGGATCGGGACCTTGAAATGGTATTATAAAGATTTTTTAAAAGATTCACCCTCAAGTATTATGCCATCGATCCAGCGCATAAGCCAAGGTATAGCACTCTATTTACTTCACTATGTTTAATGGCTTTGCTGGGGCAGAGCCTAAAACACACTGTGCGTTTAGGAAAAAAAATGAGATTTTGCAGACCCAGCTATATGTTCTGGCACATCACGACACGCATAATATATCAGTTTAAAAGAAATATGGGGAAAAATATCCTCCTAATTTCACACGGAGAGCCTGCAAGCATGGATGCAGAGATCAAAAGGTAAAATATTGGCTTTTCTGTTACTCCACGTTTAACTCATTGCAAATATTGGGCCAGAGTCACTGAAAATCTCTAGGTGTTCAAACTGGTACCGTAATTGGCAGGGTTATGGCTGCTTTGTGTTGTAGGAATGGGGCAAAGGCACTAAAGGTACGAATGAATCTGTCCCTTTTATTTCCTTCAAACTAGGCAACCCTAGAGTTGCTCAGTCATCTGAAAGAATCCTAGGACACTAGAACTGGAAGGGACCTCTAGAGGTCATCGAGTCCAGTCCCCTGCCTTCTTGGCACCATCTTGATCAGTGGTTCTCAACCATGGGCCATATGGCTCCCCAGGGACCACACCTTACTTCTAGGGGGCCACATGTAAAAAATTGTACCTTTTTTTCCAACTAACAGCGGCTATGAGGGAGGCCACAGAGGTAAACAAGGCTCAGAAAGGGGCCATGAACAAAAAAAAGTTGAGAAGCACTGGTCTAGTTCATCCAAGACAGATGATCCATGCATGCCCAAAACTAATCTGAAAAGTACCTACCCCTGCTGACTAGCTAGACTAAATATTTCAATGTATATCTACACTGCATTGTAAATGCATGTCTGTAGGATCTAGACTTATAGACTGGGTGTTTCCAAGCCTGTGTTTGAACAGCCTGAGTTTTTTCCTTTTTAAAAAAACTTTTTAAATGTCCCTGATAACTTCAGAAGATCAGGGAGTGATTCTAGGAAATGCAGGTTAGGGACGGAGTAGGCTAAATGAATGGCCCCCACATCTTAGGTCCAGACCTCTTAGACCCACTTTGTAAAGCTAGATGGAAACTACAGGCTCTGAGAACTGAAGTGTCAGAACAAACAGTGTTATTCAAATTAATGATTTGCCACTGATGGGAAGTAACTACAACAAACAGAGTTCCTTTCAGTATGAGGTGTGCGAAACCTCTCTTTCTTTTTCAGAGCTTGTCTACAGACATCACCCCCAGCACCACAGCTTTTGGAGAACCCATGTTAATTTCTCCTTCTTGTGTTCATTTGTAAAAATGAACATCATAACAGGGAGCTAGAGAATTGGGGCAAAAAACCCTCTGGAGAGCCAAATATATCAGAATCAGGCCTTAAATATTAAGTATGACATGCATTAGTTTAAATCAAGCATACCGTCACTGAAGGCAATGGAGCTATGCTGATATAAAACAGATATGAGGCATTTAGGTGGCTAAATAGCTTAAGCCTTTCTGTAGGTTAGAAAAGATTTTAACTGTGCTGCGGGAGGTGGGGGAGAAACTTCATTCTGTTCCTCTACTAGTACAATCACATGCTCCTCACATGTTAACATCACCTGTCTGATGAAATGCTCCTTTTTTACATGCCCGGAGATGTATCGAATGGAATCCGCAGCTTTCTCCAAAAAAGCAATCACAATTTTTTCTCCTTCCTTCCCTCGTTTCTGTTTCTTTTTGCCTGAGAGCTTTGATTTCAACACAGGGAGAGTTCCGCCAGTCTCCGAGAAGGAATAGCGGTCCACGTGACCCTTCATGCATAATAGCCGGGGAAGCTTTTGAAGGAACAGTCTTTTAACCCAGGGAGCCATTGGATGGTAGGTGGCCGAGGACCGGTGGTGGACGTTAATAACGAAAACAGTAACAATAATTGATAGGGTGACAAAAATCATAATAAACAACAAATATTCTCCAATTAGAGGAATGACTTTGGAGGAAGACGGTATTATCTCTTCAATGACGAGAAGAAAAACAGTAAGGGAGACTAGAACGGATGTAGATAAGGAAAGTTTTTCCCCTTCGTCTGAAGGCAAATAGAAGACCAGCACCGTTAGAAAAGATAATCCAAGGCAGGGGATTATTAGGAAAAGCGTATAAAACAGCGGGAGGCGTCTTAGAACGAAGGAATAAGTAACAAATGGGTAAGAATGCAACCCATCCCTTCGGCTGCCTTTCATACCTTTGGCATTTAGGATTTCCCACTCTCCGTTATCAAAGAAGTCTTTCCTGTCCACGTTTTCATCTACTAAAATCAAGTCCACCATGCTGCCATCGTAGGTCCAGGATCCAAATTTCATGGAGCAATTCTGTCTATCGAATGGGAAATAGGTCACGTCCATAGTGCAGGAACTCTTGTAACTGGCTGGCGGGGTCCACGTGACCAGCCCGTTGTATTTCACAATGACTTTGGTCATCAGGGAGCCTTCAAAACGTCCGTCGGCACTGGGGAGAGGAGAAATTGGATCGGTTGCAGGTTTTCACCACATCAAGCTCGGTCCTTTGGATTTCCTGATTCCTGTTCTGGTTTCTGTGCCTTTGTAATGTGAGCGCGGTGACCCTAGTACTAGTATTGGACTAAGAAACACTGTTCTACACAGAGTTCTAAACTGTGATCTGTGGCAGACTGATGTGCCGCGAGGCAGTCGGAGGTGTACCGTGGAGAACAACAGAATTCAAAATGGCCGATGCCCTTAAAGGGCCAGGCGGCTTTTTTTTTTCTCAATAACTCCCCCTCTCCCCCCCCCGACCCTTTTCCCCTGCCTCAACCTTTTTTTTTCCCCCTCAACAAAAAATCCTTGGTGTTCCTCATAAAAAACAATTATTGTTTGGTGTTCCTCACTCTTAAAAAGTTTAAGAAACACTGGTGTAGAATGCCCCAAGAAGGTAAACACTGGTCAACCACCTTTCCCTGCTCAGCAACCATAGGGAACAGGGATGAACTTGAGGCTGCCTGGAAAGTTGACCCATCTGGGCTCTGGCAGGCCAATGGGGGAAGAGAGGTCAGAAATGGAGGAAGCCCTCCCAGAGACAGCTCCCTCATACTTACGCTATGGGACCCCCAGCCAGGTTGATTTCAGCAGCTGATTTCCACCGCGGCTGATTTCAGCTGTGGCAATACATACAAGGGGAGGAGCGCTCTCTGGTAACACTGTCCCAAGCCACTCGCGCCCTCTTAAAACCAACCCTTTGAGTCCCACCCCAAACTGTACTGGGAGCCAGTGTAGGTGACAGAGCACTGTTCTCATGAGTACATGGCACTGTATGGCGCAATCTTAGCCAGCCAGAGTTCTAGTTCGGATGCCGCTCTGGGGGACGGCTTTCTAACAAGGTCCATGGTTAGGCCCAGTGCTAGCCCGCCCGGCTGGGGCTGGACATCAGTGTCACAGAAACAACTACCCGACACCTGGAGCGTTGGGGGAAGCTCCCATACTCACTTCTCAAACAGCACGATGTCTGGCAGCCACAGCGACTCCGAGGGAACCCGGATGGCCGTGATCCCACCGTAATCCTCGGGATTCCAGCACAGCTTGTGGTCAGTCCATTCCTGCAACGAGCCAACGGAGTCCTCCTGCCATTTGCGCACATCCCGCTCCCAGAGGGGTCCTATGGTAAGGCCAGCACAACGGGGACCCCGGGTCCCGATTGCAATCTATGCATCACAATTGCCGTAGCTCTGGTTGAAGTTGGGAATGACTCCTGTATTTCGGTCAGGGGTGGGGAATCTACAGCACAGGGGACTGCATTTGGCTTGCTAGGATCTGGCCCCTGAGACTTGGGGCTTCCCCCCGCCCAGCCTTGGGGAGCCTGGCTTGCTTGGATCTGGCCCCTGAGGCTTCGGGCTTCCCCCCCCCCAGCCTTGGGGAGCTGGGCTGGTGCTCCAGCCCTGTGGCAACCTTCCTGCCCAGACCCCGCACCCCCACTCTGCTCTTGCACTACCTCCCGCCCAGCCCTCCTGTCCCCAACTCACGCCTGCACCCTCCCTTCCATTCTCACTCTACACCCCAAGCCTGCTTCGTGCCAGCCCCCTCCCACAACCTGAACTCCTCATTTTTGGCCCCACCTCAAAGCAGGGGGAGGGGCACAAAATCTACTAGCCAGCACCCCCCCCAGGCTTTGTTGTGCTTCTCAGTTGGGGGCGGCACACAACTGAGAAGCAAAAAAAACAAACCAAAACAAAAAGATTTTTCTGCCCCAAAAAGGTTCCCCGCCCCAATTTTGCTTTCCTTGTTTAGCTTTGTTGACTTTGGATTGTATGAGGCTCAGGCTGAAGACCCGGGGAGACGAGCGATACTCACTGTGAGGGAGCAGATTTGCGCTGCTCTCTCTATTATTGATAGGGTTTGAGGTTGCCCCGAGGGCGCAGAGAGAGGAGAGAGCAGATGCAAACCACAATCAATACCCATAATAACGGCAGCTTGCTGCCAAAGCTCAGGAGACGGAGCCTAACTAGCCCCCGGGTTTTCCCAGCAGTTACGGGCATCCCACAATGCAACATTCTTTGGCACCTCCCATACTCATGCAAGGACTCTGCCATTAGTGAGGCTGTCTCTCACGGGTATCGGTTCGGCGCGCACGCCCCCAGCCTGCCGCTGCTCTCTGTCCATCTCTCCACGGGCCTGCTCTTCTCTACTGCGCAAACATTAGCGCTCGAGACCCCTTTCAGCCAATCCCTGCTCTCATCATCGCTCATTCACCAGCAAGAGGCCAGCTCCTGTCACCAGCCTGCAGCACCCACTGGGTGCTTTCTCCCACGCTGCCTCTCGCACCAGGCAGAAGCTCCCTGGAAACATCCCCCAACTAACTCCCCCGCCTCATGCCAAACCCCCTTTCAAACTCCGCTTTGCTGGGTTGTCTACAAAGTACTTGACAGCGGGGAACATGCAGACAAACACGATAGAGGAGGTCCGCTGCTCTTTGTATCTGAGGTCACCAAAGGGCTTTCAAATGAGTGGCGACGTCTTCCCTGTGATCGGTCAGACGGCTGTGTCTGAACCCCCCTTCGAGGGGTTGGACTTTGCTTGTTACATCGCGTTTCTGAGTCTCTGGAGGCAGCAACCTTTTGTGGGCTGTCAGTAGAGCAGCCCCCACACCCAAAAAGTTAGTCCAACCCAGGCCCTGGCCTGATCCGAATGAAGGTTACAGACAAGATGATCTGTTGGCCTTTGCAAGCTCTAATTTCTATAACTCTGTCTCCAAGCGCCTGACTTTCACGCTGGTTCCTCAACCCTGGTTCTTCCGACACCTGATACCTTTCCGGCAGCAATGAAAAGTCACAGGATGTCCTTGGAACGTTGAACCAGACAAGCTACAGCAGACTCCATGCCTTTGAATGGCAGGACTGTCAAAGGGAAGTCTAAGCATTTCCTTCAAAACACCCATGAACTCTCTCTGCCAACCAGAGCCAAAACTGACCTGACGCGGTGCCCGATTTAATCCATAGCCAGAACTGACCTCCCCGTATGTTTGCTGTCTCAGTCATTGTAGCAGGATAGGAGCCGACTGATTTTTTTTCCCCACTTTTCTCCATCCCAATTGATGATTCAATTTTATCAGCACTTGCCCTGTTAAAATGTTATGATCTCATCTTGCCCTTTTTAAACAAAAAATAGCATCACCCCTGAATCCTATTAGATTAGATCCTAAACTTTCACGCCTTAATGCGCTGTCCAAATCCAAAACCAGATGCTCACCTCAGACGAGGCATCTTAGGATGCATCTACACAGCAGGGCTTAACTCGAAATAAGCTATGCAAATTCAGCTACGTCAATTGCGTAGCTTATTTCGCAATAGCTTATTTCGAAATTGGGAGCGTCTACATTCATTTCAGAATAGAACACTCTTCCTCTGACTTTCCTTACTCCTCGCACAAGGAGGCTTACAGGAGTTGGAGTAAGAAGTCCTTCAGCTTGACAGTATTTCAACATTATTTTGAAATAACTTAGTCCGTATCTACACAGCAGGCAGTTATTTTGAAATAATGTTGCAGCGTAGACTTGCCCAAAGGCTATTTGTATACTACGACAGCAGGCAGTTATTTTGAAATAATGTTGCAGTGTAGACTTGCCCAAAAGCTATTTCTATACTACACATTTTGTCAGAAGAGGCAATGCAAATGAAGCGCAGATTCGCATTTTCTCATGCTTCATTTGCATAATCTCTTCCAGTCCATTTTTGCGCTCAAAGTTTTTGCATAGAGGCGCTCATGCTTCATTTGCATAATCTCCTCCAGTCCATTTTTGCATAGAGGCGAGGGATACCATTCCTACCCAGCCTGGCTAATAGCCAATGATGGACCTAACCTCCATGAATATATCTAGCTCTTTTTTGAATCCTGTTAAAGTCCTAACCTCCACCACATCCTCCGGCAAGGAGTTCCACAGGTTGACTGTGCGCTATGTGAAGAAAAACTTCCTTTTGTTTGTTTTGAACCTGCTGCCTATTCATTTCATTTGGTGACCCCTAGTTCTTATAATGTGGGGATAAATAAATAACTTTTCCTTATTCACTTTTTCCACACTAGTCGTGATTTTAGAGACCTCTATCATATCCTCCCGCTTGGTCTTCTTTTTTCTAAGCTGAAAAGACCCAGTCTTTTTAATCTCTCTTCATAGGGGACCCCTTTCCAAACCCCTCAGCATTTTTGTTGCCCTTTCCTGAACTTTTTCCAATGTAAAGATCTCTTTTTGGAGATGAGGCGACCACATCTGTATGCAGCATTCAAGCTGTGGGCATCCTGTGGTTCTATACAGTGTCTGTCTTATTCTCTATCCCTTTTTAAATGATTCCTAAGATTCTGTTTGCTTGTTTGACGGCCCCTGCACACTGCGTGGCCGTAGCCAGTTCTGCAGGGGAGTAAGAACCCCGTTCCTCTCCTGATCGAATGACGGCTCCAACACCAGAGAGTGGGAAGCCAGGCCTGCTTGCCAGGCACTTCCCCCGCCGCCAGAAAGCTCGGCATGTGAGGTAATGGGCTGCTGTACCTGTTTCAGCCAGACGTTGGTTGTCATCAGCTGATTCTTTTCATCCTAGGGAGACACGAGATGAGAAATTAACAATGCCCCGAGAACAGAAAGGCTGCCCAGACTGAACAGGTTTCGGTGTCAATGGGATCTCAGCCCGGGCACGTAACGCCCGGTGCTGCATCCTATTAGCCCATACAACTCTCACTGAACTCAACGGGAGGCTCCTAGTAACAGCCTTGGCAGGCCCCTGGAAGGGCCAGGGCCAGGGCAGCCAGCCCTCGAAGTCACTCATGAGTGCCCCCACCTCCCAAGGCAGCCCTCAGAGCTGCCCTGAGTGTGTAGCGTGGCGCTCTAGCAACCAATTAAAGAGCCCAGGGCTCTGTCGGTGGCTGGGAACTCCAGGCCCCTTTGAATTGCTGGGCCCCAGAGCAACTGCCCCATTTCCACCATGTCGGTGGGCCTGAATGCAACCCTGGGAAAGACTATTTTTCCACAGACATTAAAGCAAAATGTGGGATACTGGCAGAAACCAGTTCTCTCAGCAAAACAAGCAGCAGAGTCCACGCTGGCTCTTTGTCAACAATAAAGGGAGAGGAACACACAAAAGTCTCTCACAGGTGTGGAAGTTTTGGGTGGCCCAAAATGGGTGTCTTCCTCCCCACAAAAATCACACTGGAGTGTGCATGATATCACTGTTTTGTCAACAAGAGGCAGGTTTTGGCAACAAAACGTGCTGGTGTAAATAAGGCCTAAGATTTACTTCACCACATGAAGAGCAACCTTACTTGTAAGCTGAATTCTGTTCTCTTCCCCATGAGCTGTCTTTCTATTAGATAGTCAATTTGCTGGAGCAGGGACTGTCTCTCTGCTTGTGACGTACCTAGCACACGTCAGTACTATTTATCATTTGTAAAACCCGTAGCAGCTGGGAGCCCCCGTCACAAAGCATCTCTGTCTGACAACTCCACTACATGTCCTGTATCGTACTGGGAAAGATGAATGAGCTATGCTCCCCCAGATCCTCGTCCCCTAAAATCTGCCATGAAAAATGACACCAGCATTGTAAAGTGGTTAACCACAATGGGCGTCAGCTAGGTGTAGGTTTTCCTTTTGCTAAAGTTCCCACAAGTCACTTACCACGTCCACGAGCTGAGAGATCTTTAAGCCAAAACGGACTTTGATGGTATCGTTGGAGTTTTCTACAGGTCGGACCCATTTCTGGTACCCGTGAAGTAAGTGTCTCAACAGGGCATCTTCGTTTTCAGCAATCAAACTGAACCCAGCAACTGCTGAAAGGCGACAAAGAGGGTGCGGGTTTATGTGCGAGTGTAACCCACATTCCTTCTGACCCTAAGACCCCACTTAGAGAGAATAATGAGTCTCCTTTACAGCCTTAGCTGAAAGCTAGCTGGCTTTTAGTTCAAGTGGTAGAGCCTCATGCATGGAGGTCTCAGGTCCAGTGCCGCCTGTCGGTGCTACAAGCGCACCATGCAACAGTGAAAGAGAATAAGAGGAAAGACCGTCATCACCAACGCAAACAGGAAAATCGGCTTCAGGCAAAAGTTTGCTAGATACAGGTTCAATTTACAGTTGCTCAGTAGGGACAAGGAAAGAGGGAAGGAAGATTGATCAGCTCCAGTGAGGATTCGGTTATACAGGTTCAACCTCTGTGGTCCAGGACACTCTGGTCCAGCAACATCCATGGTCCGCCTTCTCTGTGCTACCAGGGCATCTCATGATGCTCATCCCTAGCTGGTTAGCCCCACCACCACAGGCCAGAATTTAACACTCTGCCTCTACAAATGTAAGCCCTCTCTTCCAAATACCTGTTTGCTATTGCCTTTGCCCACCAGGAAAGAGAAAGAAGAGCCATCTCCCCTACCCGCATCAAAAGCCTTGTTACATCTGAGTGCCCCAAACCCAAACCAGCTCCCATTGTTCCCAAACGACCTGAATCTCTAGCTGCCCAGCCCTCCAGCTTCAAAATTTTACAACAGAGGGATGACGTAGGGAGGCTGTAAACTGAAAAACATCCCAACCCAGGGAAACGTGCTGGATTGAGCTGCAAAATAGTAAACAACCTCCCGCATCCCTTTCCAGATTCCATGCAATGCAGCCCTCCCCTCAACCTGGCTCAGATGTGTTCCTAGGCCACAGAATCAGCAGAGAAGAGGAAGCAGATGTCCCAAAACCTACACCTCAGCTGCGCCCCACAGGACATGAGCCAACCCTTAGCAAGGGGAAACACTGGAAATTGGGTGGGATGATTCTTACACCGGGAATGTTACAGGCCTAGAAGAGCAACAGCAGAGATGCAGAATCATAGAATCATAGAACACTAGGACTGGAAGGAACCTCGAGAGGTCATCGAGTCCAGTCCCCTGCCCTCATGGCAGGACCAAATACTGTCTAGACCATCCCTGATAGACAGTTATCTAACCTACTCTTAAATATCTCCAGAGATGGAGATTCCACAACCTCCCTGGGCAATGTACTCCAGTGTTTAACCACCCTGACAGTTAGGAACTTTTTCCTAACGTCCAACCTAAACCTCCCTCGCTGCAGTTTAAGCCCATTGCTTCTTGTTCTAGCCAAGATGAACAAGTTTTCTCCCTCCTCCTTAGGACACCCTTTTAGATACCTGAAAACTGCTATCATGTCCCTCCTCAATCTTCTCTTTTCTAAACTAAACAAACCCAGTTCTTTCAGCCTTCCTTCATAGCTCATGTTCTCTAGACCTTTAATCATTCTTGTTGCTCTTCTCTGGACCCTCTCCAATTTCTCCACATCTTTCTTGAAATGTGGTGCCCAGAACTGGACACAATACTCCAACTGAGGCCTAACCAGCGCAGAATAGAGCAGAAGAATGACTTCGCGTGTCTTGCTCACAACACTCCTGTTAATGAATCCCAGAATCATATTTGCTTTTTTTGCAACAGCATCACACGGTTGACTCATATTTAGCTTGTGGTCCACTATGACCCCTAGGGGCAGTTACATCAGCTGGAAAATGCTGGAACACACCAATCTTTCTCCCCCTCCCCATACAGCTGTCTCTCTCCAGATGACTATGCTCCCCAAAAATACATAGGCTGAATAGCTGGGAAAACATCCATCCTTTCAGTGAGGTCTATTCTGGCATGATCCCACCTCCCCCGAAGAAACACGAGGAGACCTCAGGCTGGAATCTTTTACAACCAAACCAGACGAAGCAGCGAGGAATACACTGAAAAAACGCAACACTGCCCTTGAAGACAGATGAAGCTGTTTATCAGCCCGTTGTAGGTCAGACCCATCTCCAATTGCATTGATTTGTGTGTCTGCGGGTGTGCAAGTTTCAGTGCTCGCCGCCCCATTTGCTGTGGGTCAGATTAATTCATCGCGCTTGCCAGACCACTTTACATCCCCCCTCGTTAACTCTTCCTCATTTGTAGGGGCTCATGGCTTCTGATCCTACCAGCAAGAGAGTTGATACATGAACAGAAAAAGCTCTGGCAAGGACGTTGGAAGGTACTTTCTACACATGGGGTGCACTTTAAGAAATACAGAGCTGGTACCTTCAGCCGTTTGCTTTTTCATTTGAGAGGCTGCGGTTTTCTCTGTACAATCTCTCTCTTCAATAATTGCACACACTATTCCTCTCCCTCTGTGTCCCCCACACTCCCATAACACATGGCTTTTCTCCTCTCCTCTCTTATACGTTATCAGATCCGGTACTAAACCCAAGGTGCACTTTTTCTGACTAGCAAGAGGGCTCTGCTATTTTTAAAAAAATCTCAGAGGCGTCACCGTGTGAGTCTGTAGCCTTAAAAACAGCAACTAGCCCTGTGGCACCTTAGAGACTAACCAAAATATACAGAATCCGAAGTTTTCATTCATCTGAGGAAATTGGGCTTACCCACAAAAGCTCATGATTCTATATATTTTGGTTCATCTCAACTAATTTACTCCCTCTTCATTTTTCCTCTGCTACACTGTTTACCAGTAACTTCATTGCCTTGTGTTTGAAAAGGCTTTGAATGGTAAGAACAAATATAAGCCCCATGTTTTTACAAGCCAGCTGTTTTAAGAGGAAGTAGACTAAATATTTTACTGATAAGCTTCAGGGGGTAGCCGAGTTCGTCTGTACAGGATAAACTTAAAAAACAACAAATGGTTTGGTAGCACTTTATAGACTAACAAAACATGTAGATGGTTTATCTATATTATAAGTATGAACGCCAACGCTTAACTTCAGCAAGCAGACACCTACCTGCACTTCAGAAAGACATCTGCATTTTTGAGGCGGAGGCAGGAAAATAAATAAATGGCACTTACCTGAGTTGCTAAGGCAAAAGATGAGGGGCACTATGACAAGGTCTAACAGCAGCAGCATGGCAGCTTTAATAATCTTTTGTTTTCCAGGCAAACCAATGCCAGCCTACAAATGGGTTAACGCACACTGGTGAGAAAGCACGCAGGGTCAGAGTGTCGGCAAAGGAGAGGAGTGCATTTCAAGTCGAATCTTGCATCCCTGGGAAGCTTTTTAAAGTACACTTCATTGATTTTTCAGTCAGCTGTCACATCCTGTGAGTCTAAAAGCTATCGCTGGGTCCTAAACGCTGACACATTTATATTATAACCGGGGAGTGCTAGCCTGGGATGCATCAGCGACAGTGTTAAGACAGGAAAAAATAGGCATGGTAGACGGTCAAGACTGACCATAATACAAATATTCCCCAATTTTATCTTTTACCACTAAGTCACAGACATAGGTGATGTGGGGTGCAGTGCCCCCCAAACTCTATGGGCGGGTATCGGCCAGCAGGGAGACTATGGTGCCCATAGCAGGGGTCTGCCCCCCACAAACTCACTGGCAGTGGCCGGATAAGAGGAGCAACGGCCTGAACTCACTTCACTTCTCCAGCCACCTTCATGGAGCTCAGACTCATTTGCCCCACTCCCCGAGTCAGGGGCTGTCACATTACCGAATTGGAGGGAAGCAGCCAGATCGCTGCTGCACCCCTAGGAGGGGGGGGTTGGCCCCAGAAATTAGTATGAAAGGGAGCCATGTGGGGTATTGAATGGGAGCTTACTGTTTGCTGATCTTATGTACGCTATTGATGTGAGTATATAATGTCTGTGTGTGTAGGTAGAAATCTGTAATCTGCGTGGAAGCTGAATATTTCTCTGAATGTGGTTAAGCATTGCTATGGACAGGCTGAGTAGCCAGGCCCAGTAGGACAATGGCACTTGATGGGCCAAAGACACACCCAAAGAATGGGGGCTGTCACCTGAGAGCAGCCAGCAGGAAACACAGGGATTGGCCTCTGACCAGGTGACCTGCTGCATACAAGAAGAGGCCAGGAAGGAGGTATAAAGAGGCCATGTGGTTGATGCCATTTTGTTCTCAGCTCAGCACTTCATCCCAGAGGCAGCACTGCAGGGATCAAAGAGCCCGGAAGACCTGTGAACCCATCCTGACCCTAGGATGTGCAACAAGAACTTTTAAA